TCTTGTATTTTAACATTATTGTAACATTTTTACAGTATATATTATTGTAACATTGTTACACTATATATTATTACACTATATATTATTGTAACATTGTTACAGTAATTTGACTACGTATTGTACGAAATGAAAAATAAGGGATGATAAATGAATTGTGTCATTTCAATTTACCAAAAAACTAAAAATCAAAAGGATAAAATTACTCTTAGATTCTTCACGAAAACTATACCTAATTATTAGTTATTTCGTGTAAGAATAATGTTACAAAATTATAAGTATAACACTTACAATGATACTTGCAAGAGGACATGTATAATTACTTCTACTAAAAATACTCTCACATTTTTAAGAAAGTTCTTTCTAATTATTAGCTACTTCGTTCAAGAATAATTTAAAAAAAAAATATATGCATAACACTTGCAATGATGCGTTATTTAAAACAAGGAATTCGTAGACCTCTAGGAATTTCAAGTATTGCAGTTACTTGACAGAATCGATAACACACCGATGGTGGGTAAAGTAGAAAAGTTACGAGTCCTTAAAAGAACGTGTAACTGAATTTATTATTAACTACAAAAAAGCTTGTGAAGCAAATACTATCTTAAATATACAATATAAATGAATTTTTTTAAAGTTTTTCTGTTAAATATACACAAACGAATCTTTTAACAAGGCTCTTCTTACTTGCGTTCTCCTTTCTTTCTCGACCGTAATATCTTTATTACTAGTTAATCGATGTTCGCTGTTCTAAATTTCATATTTCCTCGCAGTAATAAAAGAAACTCGTTAATTCCTTTCGGGGAATGTCCTCATTTGCAAGGTAGAGTGCGCTATGTTACAAACACAATATTGTTCGTGTCGGTATTTCAGTCTGAACGCGGTTAATTGAGTTCGGTTTTATGCAAAACATTTAGAACGCATTACCCTGCGAATTTTCCCTGGAACGTATCGGAAAGTCCTCCGCAAAATTCCTTTTGAATTAACAGAAAGAAATTAGAGAAGATTTTATATACACAAGATATGCGTTCATTTTTATCTAATTTAAATTTAGATTGCGGTTTCTTTAATTCCTTTCTTAAATTCAGCAAAAACCGATGTGTTGTTTCCAGAAAATCTGGAACGTATCATTCTAGGTTCTGAAGGATATTAAGTTTCTTTATGTCAATTTAGCTTTTTTGATTCAGTTATTTCAGGTAAGAAGATTTGATGAAATTTGAAAAAAAAAAAGAATTGGAATTTTATAGATATTTTTCTTGATTTTTAATAAATGAAGCAAATTTATATTTTACAGTTGATGTAAGTTAGATGAATTTTCCAACATTTACTATGTCACAAAACACTCTTCAATTCAAGTCATCTAAAAGATTACATTATCTAAAAAGATTACATGGAAAGATTACATACGAAATTCTCATACGAACTATCTAAATCAAAACCAGTATAACATATCCTTCAAAACAATTTACTAATCAACTAATTCATCCCACAGCACATTTCAATTAATTTTATCTATCAAACTGCGGTCGGAATGCAAAAATCGTTAGATAACTCAACAGAGATCATTAACGAGTAAAATAACTGGATATATATAGAACGATCGTAAACACCCGCTAATGTTCTCCGCCCGAAGAAAAGTTTCTTCCAATCCAAAAAGAAAGAAGCTCAATAATTATCCAGTTAGGTAAGTTCGCTCTCGTTGATCCACAACAAGCTTTTCTGCAGCTCGCGGTAATCGATAGAACGATCCAAGCGAGACCGTAGTTCTCTCGTTCGTGATTGCACGTGTATCTCGTCTGCCGCAGACCCATGTAGGTTAAGAGTGCACGGTCGTGTGCAATATAGAACAGAACTCGTACAAGTCGCGGGTGCAAGTTACGGTAGGTAAGTACCGTTTGCCGGGACGACAGTTGCCGTGCAGGTGTATGGAATCGCTTACACGTTGCGCGTATCTCGCCTCTGAACATCTTTGCTCCCGTGAAAAGTTTCCTTTCTTATCGGGGTACGGCTCGAACATTGGCACAATGTGAAACCCCCGTCGATTTTCAGGTTTTAGGTAATTCTTCTTCGAATTCTTCTCATGGAAAACACTGTTTGGCAATATAACGCGTGGGCGATGTAGCGTGTAGCGATGTGCGAGTATGATTATGCGTTGATGCGTGGGTATGTAATGTGAAGATACGGGCAGTGTAATATGTTGAAGGTACAAGGGGTAGGTATGTTGACGATATAATATGTGAGTACAGAATAGGGGATACGTATGGGTAGACAATATGTGTGAGATGCAACATGTGTACATGGATGTATAATACGTTTGTAACGAGTTACAGTAGCGATGTAACATGTAAGTACAATAGATTGCTGATATAAGGAACGTGTAGGTATGTAATACGCTAGGGAATATGTGTGGTGAAGCAAGTGACGATTCAATGTGTGATAATATAATGTGTGGAAATACAACGTATAGCGAAATACAACACATGGCGGTTAATATGTGTGGTGATCCAAACATGTGGTAATTTAATGTGCAGTAATCTAATACATGGTGATCCAACGTGTGGTAACCTAATACGTGGCGATTCAATGCGTGGTAATTTGATATATGGTCATCCAACGCGTGGTAATCTAATACATGGTGATCCAACGCGTGGTAATCTAATACGTGGTGATCCAACGCATGGTAACCTAATACGTGACGATCCAGCGCGCGATAATCTAATACGTGGTAATCCAACGTGTGGTAATCTAATACGTGGTAGTCCAACGCGTGGTAATCTAATACGTGGCGATCCAACGCGTGGTAATCTAATACGTGGCGATCCAACGCGTGGTAATCTAATACGTGACGATCCAGCGCGTGGTAATCTAATACGTGGCGATCCAACGCGTGGTAATCTAATACGTGACGATCCAGCGCGTGGTAATCTAATACGTGGCGATCCAACGCGTGGTAATCTAATACGTGATAATCCAGTGCGTGGTAATCTAATACGTGGTGATCCAACGCGTGGTAACCTAATACGTGACGATCCAGCGCGCGATAATCTAATACGTGGTAATCCAACGCGTGGTAATCTAATACGTGGTAGTCCCACGCGTGGTAATCTAATACGTGGTAATCCAACGCGTGGTAATCTAATACGTGGCGATCCAACGCGTGGTAATCTAATACGTGACGATCCAGCGCGCGATAATCTAATACGTGGTAATCCAACGTGTGGTAATCTAATACGTGGTAGTCCAACGCGTGGTAATCTAATACGTGGCGATCCAACGCGTGGTAGTCTAGTACATGGTGATCCAACGCGTGGTAATCTAATACGTGGTGATCAAACGCGTGGTAATCTAATACGTGACGATCCAGCGCGTGGTAATCTAATACGTGGCGATCCAACGCGTGGTAATCTAATACGTGATAATCCAGTGCGTGGTAATCTAATACGTGGTGATCCAACGCGTGGTAACCTAATACGTGACGATCCAGCGCGTGATAATCTAATACGTGGTAATCCAACGCGTGGTAATCTAATACGTAGTAGTCCAACGCATGGTAATCTAATATGTGGCGATCCAATGCGTGGTAACCTAATACATGATGATTGCGTATGGTAATTTAATATCTAAATATGATGACCCAAAGCATGACAATACTATGCATGGTGATATATCGCGTAATAATCTATCGCATCTACATAGCAACACTTCCAGCAACACACGACATTATAACATCCGACATTCACGAAGATACTACTAGAACTCTATTTATATATTAAAATCTCAACGACCAACATAACCAACAGCAATATAACAAGATGCATATCTCAACAAATTGAATCAATTCATATCCAACAAAATTTCTATTAACCTCCTAAACCATTTAATCAAATGATTTATATCTTCAATTATAGAATTATAAAAATGTGTGTAGCAATAAAGTTATGTTGCAAACTTGAAAGATACATAAGAATGTAATACATACAACTGCAACACGTGAAGGTAACATATGAATCAATTTACGAAAACCGGTATTGTAGGAACACGTAAACAGATTTCGGTCTGGAATGTTTCAACTCGTTTTCAAGCATCTCATCGTGGTGTACGTGATATACAACACGATCCCAAGTTCCCTGCAATAAAGAAGAAATTGCTAACTATAGCGGGAAACATCACACGCGTTTTGCTACCTGTAAGAACCTGCTCCTTGTAAGCTTATTAGACACTGATGACCATGATTGCAAACTAAAAAGACATAATCCGATAGATCGAGGTAACGGATGCATCAACAGAAGTACATGTCTTTTATAAATGTTAATACTGTACGTGTTTCAATCCATAATGAAAGTATTCAGATAACGATGTCTGATTTGCAAACGCTCGTGTCATCATCGTTCTTCGTTCGCGTTTCTTAAAACCCGGTTGACAGTAAATCAATTAATTAAATCGTGAAAGAGAATGTTGTCTTTGCGCGAGGGAACCCGTCAGGAACCTGTTCAAAATATTTTTACTTTTAATTCATATAATTGTTGCAGTTAATGTATTAATTATATTAATGTATGCGGATGCTATTATTTAATTAATTCATTTTTTAATCTACTTTAAGGATTTCATTAAGGTACTTTTACTTTAGTATATTTTGTTGCTAAAATTATTTAAAATTCCAACTCTTCAAAAATCAAAAGTCTTTCTGTTTAGATCATTAAATGCTTATAGCTCAAATACAATTTTATATTTCCCTACTCTGTGCACGTATTATTGACATTTTTGTGTGACACATATCACATATTAAGTTTTGAAATATTACGTACAGTTATTACTTAAGTGACCCGGTTATGACTTCTTCATCAATTCAAAATTCATCCAGATATAATATGACATAACTAATACCACAAGTCATCAATTATGACCTGATTTAATATGACATAACTGACATAGACTACAACAACCAAAATCTTCTATCATCGTCAGAAGTTCCATTTCTTTACAATACTCCCAAAAGTGCATACCTGCATGTTCGATTCTCCAATGAAACGTCTGCACCGCCGGAACGAGGAGGACTCCCGCGCTAAGTTGTAGTCCATGACAGATTACTTGCACGAGAACCGCGACCAATACGATCACATGTCCCCATCCGCCCTCGGGATAATAATGCTTTTTGAGGGTAATCCTCTTACGGGCATTTATCGCGGTGAGAGACTCTTCTTCCGCGCCTTCTTCAGGTTCCTCTACGAGGTCCTCGCAATCGTTAACGCTGCCTAAGCCACCTTCGAGGATCAGCTGCTCCGAGAATCGTCTCCTCATCATCTTGGGCGTGATGGTCGTGCTGCTCCTTCGTCGTTCGCTCAAACAATCCTCCTCTTTCCTCGCCTTTTTCTGCCTCTGAGTGAGACGTTTGTCCATCAGGGGTTCCTTCGACGGGTCCGTCTCGTGACTTTCGTTATGCGAAGCCCACTGTTCCTTCGGTCTGATCATCTTCTCGGGCGACACACGGGGACTTCTCGCGACCACTGTTTTCGCATCGTTGCTGCTTCTTCTAGGATCGTTTGCTTCCCCAACGAGCGTTTGTTCGGAGAATCGCCGGTTATCTTGCTGGCCGATCTTGCAACCGCGTGGCGACTGCGTTTGATCCGAGTGCCGACGTTGGATCACCTGGACGATCGACTCCGGACCGTCCACGCGATCCTCCTTGATCTCGTGGAACAGGCTGGCGACCGAGTTCCTGCCGGAAGACGGTGGCAGGATACTCTGGCAGGTTGACACCGAGTAGCTCGAGTCCTTCCTCTTGAAACCGAATAGGAACGCGTGATCTCTGCTCGAGCAGGTCGAGATCTTGCGACGATAATACTGACACTGACTGCAACGACACTGACACAGACACTGACACTCGCTCGAGGCCGACCATTTTGCGGCTAAAAAGCAACGACACTTGGCCAATCTGGTCAACAGTTCCGGATGTGACAGGAACATCTCCGGTATTTCGCTTTCGGTCCAGGACCGACTGGTATCTGTGGACGGAGTTCTGGTCAGGTCACGTTTCGCCGAACTCTCCGTGGACCAACTTTCCGATTCCAGGCTCGAATTGTCCGGCAGCTTGGACTTCTTCTGGACCACCAGCTGCTGGGATTTTATTGGAACTTCCTGATGAACGTATTCTGACCCGTCCGTTATCACAGGCTCGTTAATCATCGCCGCGCTGTATGAATTGCGACGTTTTCGGTATGCGTCTCCGTTTCCTGCGTTTGATGAGTCGCGTGCGGAGTCCATTTTGAGGGCGAATTTTTTATTACAAAATAGCTGGTCAAATTTTTTTTCTATAATAATAGTAGACTGGTTTGATTGCTTGAACACTTTGAAATTTGTCTTAAAGGCTTGGCATTTTGAAATTTTAAGTATGTAAGTTTTTAAATTTTGATCGACTTTTTGTGATCAAAAGTCACCATCACTGTCAGTTACATCCCAAACGAATTGCACGAAAATTAACAAATAACGAACACAGAGCGCACTATCACTGAAAAGTTTGAATGAAAGAATTAGATTTAGGCTCGTAGGAAAGAAAGCGAGAGTGACTCGACCGCGTACTATTCCGAACTGACCCACGTGCATCAAAAGTCGCGGTCTAACTGTGGACAAACAAATTAATGGTCGACCCTCGTAAGAAGGTTTACCGGTCCTTCGTAGATGCATCACGATGCCTTGCACGCGTGTAATCGTACGTGATCTTCAGCGGACGACGCGTACGGACTGTCGAACACAATGTCCCGATTTTTCTCGCCACGCGGAACAGGCTGGCGACCGAGTTCCTGCCGGAAGACGGTGGCAGGATACTCTGGCAGGTTGACACCGAGTAGCTCGAGTCCTTCCTCTTGAAACCGAATAGGAACGCGTGATCTCTGCTCGAGCAGGTCGAGATCTTGCGACGATAATACTGACACTGACTGCAACGACACTGACACAGACACTGACACTCGCTCGAGGCCGACCATTTTGCGGCTAAAAAGCAACGACACTTGGCCAATCTGGTCAACAGTTCCGGATGTGACAGGAACATCTCCGGTATTTCGCTTTCGGTCCAGGACCGACTGGTATCTGTGGACGGAGTTCTGGTCAGGTCACGTTTCGCCGAACTCTCCGTGGACCAACTTTCCGATTCCAGGCTCGAATTGTCCGGCAGCTTGGACTTCTTCTGGACCACCAGCTGCTGGGATTTTATTGGAACTTCCTGATGAACGTATTCTGACCCGTCCGTTATCACAGGCTCGTTAATCATCGCCGCGCTGTATGAATTGCGACGTTTTCGGTATGCGTCTCCGTTTCCTGCGTTTGATGAGTCGCGTGCGGAGTCCATTTTGAGGGCGAATTTTTTATTACAAAATAGCTGGTCAAATTTTTTTTCTATAATAATAGTAGACTGGTTTGATTGCTTGAACACTTTGAAATTTGTCTTAAAGGCTTGGCATTTTGAAATTTTAAGTATGTAAGTTTTTAAATTTTGATCGACTTTTTGTGATCAAAAGTCACCATCACTGTCAGTTACATCCCAAACGAATTGCACGAAAATTAACAAATAACGAACACAGAGCGCACTATCACTGAAAAGTTTGAATGAAAGAATTAGATTTAGGCTCGTAGGAAAGAAAGCGAGAGTGACTCGACCGCGTACTATTCCGAACTGACCCACGTGCATCAAAAGTCGCGGTCTAACTGTGGACAAACAAATTAATGGTCGACCCTCGTAAGAAGGTTTACCGGTCCTTCGTAGATGCATCACGATGCCTTGCACGCGTGTAATCGTACGTGATCTTCAGCGGACGACGCGTACGGACTGTCGAACACAATGTCCCGATTTTTCTCGCCACGCACTTTCATGCGAGTTTCAATGAAATAATTCGTGCTTGCGAAACGTGGTAATCGAAACACCCACTTGGTTCCCGCTGCTCTTTTACAAGTGTTCGATAACGACCACGCGTTGTTTTTATTCCCCAGAAAACGCAACAGTTCACATTTTTTGCTCGCTTTTCTTCGAACCGTTTCAACAGCTCGGAGACGCATAATTTCTCCGTCTAAAATATTCCCGTTACCGTCGTTAACGAAGCGAAACGTTTCATTTGCATGCCACGAGGATTCTCTTTGGAAGAAACCTGAACTCGGGCTTGCCATATTTTTTCACGCGATCGAGGATCACCTTGATACCGTGTCTCGTATCTTCGGTTTCGCTCGCAGATAAGTTGATTACCTTTCGAAATATTGACCATTTGCGGCAATTCGTATTAACGGGACGAGCAACGCTGAGTCAGCGAGATATTTAAACGAAGCGAGAATGCACGAAAACGAGCGTCTGTTGGGGCGAACTAATGGATTTTGCAACGATAAGTGTCCACCACTGGATATTACGTTCTTGTTTGTGTAAACACCTTCATCTCGGTGCAGTTAATATCGCGATATCAAACGGTCGTCACCGTTTTTTACGTACTTCTGAAGATCTGACAGAAAATGTTATTATCTTAAATTTATCCGTGCTCGATTGACAACAAATGGTGACAGCTGAAATTGCCGAAATATTTTTTCTTCGAGAAATATGGAGTGTTATATGTTTTAAACGGTACATTTGCATTCTTAAATGTTGATATACAGGTTTCTTCGCTGCGTATTACGGATGAAGTCATTTCAAAATAAAAGATTCTCATTGGTCTTAAATATGCAAATTATGAAGAAATAGTTATATTTCCTTTTTCCTTGTTTTATATTTATATAATCTTTTTTTTATAAAAACTATAAACCTCTTATAGGCCCCATTACATTTTGAATGGAACTAAATCTTGAAACATTCTAATTAAGCCAAAATTTTACAACACTTTCCAATACCTTGAATGTATTATAATTTATTTTATCCGAAATGAATTAAACGGGCAATGTAAACACTGAATGAATATTTGTATCTACCTATGATTCAAAAATTGAATTATTATAATGGATAAAAGGTACCATCATGTAGTAACGTAGTAAGGTTAAATAATGAAATAAAATAGTAGAACAGTAGAAAATAAAATGGCAACAGAATAACACAAAACTATACAAAATGTATAAAAATGAACAAATAAGCGATAAAACCTAAATTAATATCCACATCAATTCTTTATTTCCCAAGAAAAATCACCACAGATTTCAAGAAAAGCGGCATAATAAATTATCTTCATTTTCCAGAAGAAACTTGTGAACCGGTTGTTTAACCGGTTCAGTAGCTTCTTAGTTAGACATACAAAAAAAATTGTGGCAGAGTTCCCCATAATCCCCGGTAATCATCTCCATCGCCAGAAACAAATCCGTCAGCTCCGAAAATCGATTACCTTCCTCAAACTTACAACCCTCATTGATAACCAGCATATCCGATGAAGCGTGGTCAACGTCGACTTCTTATCGTTAAGCTTACCCGGGTAATTTCGTATTCATACTCCATCCTACTCGCGTAACGATCAAGCGGAAAGAGAGGCAAGGAAAAAAAGCATACGCGTAAAAACCGTCTGATTTATGAACGCCGTTCGATCCTATCTGCGGACAAGGTTTTCACTTAGCGCCAATCAGTCGATTGCACGGTTCCGAAATTCTCTTCGGTCCAGAAATCGCGTGGACGGGGGGACTAAAGATAGTCCCCGATCGATTCGACACCACACCGAGTAACTGTACTTCCGATTAAGATAAACGACGACGTCTGGCCGGGCCAATTAGGCGTCAAGGACGTTCTTACCTGCACTGTGAAGAGCAGGCTGATGGAACTTCAATTCGGCGGTCAGATGCCAGCTGCCTGGCGCCGCTAACTGCAAACCGATCCCGAGGAGATGAACGAGCGCCGAACAGGTGACAATCACGTATCCCCATCCTCCTTCCGGATAGTAGTGCCTCCTCAGGGTGGCCTCTTTTCTCGCATCGTTCATCGGCCGGCACAGCGGGCTACCGTTCCTCTTCCGACCATATTTTTCCCTCTCCTTGCTTCTGGCACCTCCAATTAGACTGCTCGCTCCTATTCTGCGCCAGCTGCTCCTCATTTTAGCCTCCGTCGCGGAATATTTACGGAACGTTTCCGGCTTACCCTGACACCGGCCTCCCCTAACCACGTTGCTCTTCTTGCTAGACACCGGCGATCGAAAAGGGTCCACCCGTTGCCGAAGAAGACCCTCGGACGTGCACTTAGGACACGCGTGTTGCATGTTCTCCGCCGCTGTTATGTAATCGTAATCCACTATTTGGATGTACGGGGTGCCTCTCTTCGGGGTCAACGATCCTGCCGCGTCCTTTTCTGTCTCTTCGCTCGCATTCCGACATTCGATCTTCACGATGGTTTCTAAGGGAAGAGGATCTTCTTGTACCTCGACATTAGTCTTCGGAGGATCTTGTACCTCGACATTAGTCTTCGGATGATCTTGTTCGATGTTTATCTCCGGTGCAGCTTCTTCGGGTAAGTTCTTTTCCACCGATTTCGAATCCGTGATTTGGTGTTCATCGACCCTGAAGTTCGACTCCGACAAATCGATCTGATCTTTCTCGTCCTCCCTGTTCTCGTGATTATCGTTCCTGCTAAAATGCTGGTTCATAACGTCGGGTACTAAAGGTCGCAGTTCAAAAGTTTCCCCTAGCTCGGCGGTTTGTTGTGTAAACCTGGTCTCGTCGGCAAATCGTCGCTTGGTTCCGAGCGACGTTGGATCGCCATGATCTAGGAGGACGATCTCGTTGATCCAATCGGTGTTTGAAGCGAGTAGCGGATGGAGGGTTTCCCGAATGGTCGGGATGATAGTGAAGGCGCGCGACAACGGGTCCACGCGCACTTTCACCGTCTGGGGCGCCCGGTCCGGCCAGGAGCTGCTGTGTCTCATGCTCTTCCGGTCTTCCTGTCGCACTGTCATCTCTCGATCGCTTCATCGGGATCCAGTGCTCGAGATCGGTCGTTGAACGCGCGTGCGAAACCCTGCGACCGCGAAATATCGAACTATCCTTCGAACGACTTTGATCCACTGGCCGGATGAGAGGATTTGCTCGGTGAGTATAAATTTTGCCCGCGAGCCGCTATTATCTTCCCGGCCGAATGAACACTGCTGGCTCTCGCGGGACGACTGCATTTTTCAGCGACTCGCCGCGACTTTATGGCTCACTGGAAACTCGCGCGATGACGTTCGAGTCGGGGTCGTCAAGCTCGCATTTCGAAGATGCTTTAATCGAAACGGAGGATTACAGAAGAACGATTGTTTGAAAAAGAGGAAGCGGTCCTGGCGAGTGCGCCAGGATGACTGCTACGCACGTGCTGCTCACTCGCGAGCAACCCTCTCCTCTCTCTCCCTCTCCTTTTGCTCGCTGTCTCCCTCTTCCCAATGGCGGGCGCATGCCTGTGATACTCGACGAATCGCGAAGCCACCGTCCCGAGGGTTCTTTCCCGTGCATTCGACGAATTTCCAGCGATCGCGTGCTAATGAAAATCGACGAAAAAGTTCACATCCGCGGGCTCTGATAACAGAAAGTTGTTCCAGGGTGAAATGTGTCACCGTGGAGAACGCGGTGAACCGAGTCGGAAAACGATCTTTTCTCGCCAGCGAATATATTCTTCGGATATTCAAACGAGCGAAATCGCGATCGTAAAATGACCGTGTCCATAAAATTTGTTTCCTCCAATGGGGCCTTGTTGCACGCGACGACGTTTGTCAGACTTTCGGTGATCGTTATCCCGAATCTTTATATCCCACTATGGAAACCGTTGCTACCTTCCGTCTTTGATAAACTTCGGTAGAAGTCTTTGCGAATATCGAACGTGTTCGGTGATTGCCTGATTTTTACGATTCGAAAGGTACTTGAAGAAACTTGTTTGAAGAGGATTGATCGGATGGGATTTACAGAGGGGAAAGTTTGGAAGTTTCTGAAGAACGGTGTAAGAATTAATTTATAGCCTTTTTTAGGATGCTATGTTTAGATTAAGGATTATTTTTCATTTTAAATAACTTTTCATCTTGTAAATCTTGTGTCATGCGAGCTATACAGCGAAACGAGCAGGGAATGTTGTAAAATCAATCTAAAGGCTGGGACGAACAATCAATCTTGCGGTCCAAGCGGTACACTCGGATGCAACATACGGTCCTTTGAATAAGGATACATATATAAACTAGAAAATTTCTAAATTCTCATATTTTTACATTTGTTTATTTCTTAATATCTGTACAAATTTTTGTTCTTCCAAATTCCCAAATATTGAAACGTCAAAACTCTGTCTCCAAATCATCTTGTATCAACATTTGCAGGTTTCACAAATTTTTGCATCTAGATAGTCATGTAGATCGTCAAATTTGATGGTCACCAAATAGCAATTTCGTAAAATTCTAAGTTCCTGGATCCCCAAATTCGAAAGTTCTTAAATTCTTAACTCCTCAACCTCTTAGGCCCCAAATTCTCAAGTGCCCACATCTCTACATCCCCCTAAATGCATCTATTAATTTCTAAGTAGTCAAATTCCTGAATACCCAAATTCGTAGGTCTCCAAATTTCTAAACCCTCAAGTCTCAACATTCCTGAGTAACTATGTCCTAAAATCTCTATGTCTTCAAATCTCCAGGTCGCCAAATCTCTATGTTTCCAAATCTATAGGTCTCCAAGTCTCTATGTCTCCAAATCTCTATGTCTCAAATTCCTTTATCTCCAAATTCACAACCCTCAAAATATTCAAATCCATAAAAATCCTTAAAACTCAAGAAGTGGCTTTAGCTCCTTGTCTATACTTTTCGTGCGAGATTTGTTCGTGACTGTACATCACTGACCCATCCCAAAGAACGTAGTCCGTTCAAGGTGGCCGTTTCGCATCAATTGGTGGTGGACGTAGCGCAACGAGGACAATGAATTATGAGGAAAGGGCGTACGTTGGGTAAATGAGGCGAAAGAGGGTGAAGGCGTCGGGAAGACACACTGCTCCACCTCCGTCGACATCGAGCGACCTGGATTTTAGGAAAGGGAAAAGAGGGTCGTAAAAATGCGCTCGCCCGAGAAGATTGGCCGCGATGATGTTATCGGCGACGGAGTCAGCTGTACAGTTATTCAACGCTTCGCGTACCGATATCTGTCCCTTGCGTTTTCGATTCCGACGAAACGACTGATCCAAGGCAGTTATCGTAAAATCCAGCGACATCAAGGTGCGTGGGTTACGAGAGTCCGGTTTGAGTACTCCTTTTCTTACTCAGGTCATGAACGATCATTATTCATCGTTGTACGTTTCATTGTTCGCGATCTATGTTGCCTTTGCTTTGTTGCTTTCAGTCGTCAAGAGTGCTCTTCTATTAAAGTTTTACGACAGGGACGTTCTGATTTCAGTTCTCGTTATGGTTCTATAGCTACTGGAAGTTTAAGCATGTTGAGGTACTTGAAGTGATTAAAACTTTCGACAGTTTTGACTTTGCCATGTGACAGGGTGACATCTGATAGACTCCAGCAATTTTTAGTTTCTTGAAAGCGCGATTTTGATTATTTTTTTATGAACATGTTTTACGATACCATCTACTTGATTCTTATTTTTAAATTTTTAAATATTTTTTAATATCTAGCAGAATGTTTAACGTATCAATTATAGATTATTGCAGAAGGTTTCATGTGATAGTTACATTTAAAAGTTATTGTTATTGCTATGAAATAGTACTACAAGATATCAGTAGAAAAGATAGAACAAGACAGAGAGTGGAAGACTGTCAAAACAATTCTCATCCTCTTACTTATAGTTCGTACGCCATGAGTGTAACTTCTTCTGGCAGGATTATTTCTTCAAAAAGGGATTTCATCCATTGTACATGGAAAAATAAAGAAATTTTCCGCTTCTTTTATAGATTTTTGATTAAGACTTTCGTATAAGTGAACAGGAGTAAAGCATCAAATCAAAATGTGTCACTTAAGAATTCTTTTTTGATGCTCTTAATACCAATTATATTACTTTGTTATAATTATATGCCTTAGAGATGCGTCACAAGTGCATCATGGCTGCATCATGGATGCGTCATAACTGCATGGGGTGCGTCATGGTTGCGTCATGAATGCATTATTAATGCGTCACAATTATGCATCATGAGTATGTTATAAGGGTTTTGGGGTGCGTCATGACTGTGTCATGCATCATTGTTGCATCACAATTATGTTTCAAGTGTGTCACTGATGCGTCATGGATGTATTACAAGTGTTTGGTAGTGCGTCATGGATGCATGAGCGATGCATAACGTTCATACGTGCATCACAACACAGGACATATCACAAATATGTCATACGTGCGTCAAAATGATCACACACGTTTTAATACGTCATAGATGCATCAGTAATACGTCATAACTATATTTCTAATTCGTCAGTGGTGCGTCATAGGTGTGTCACATATGCGTCACAAGTGTTTCTGAATGTGTCATGACTGCGTAATGAGTGTACCGGTGGTGCATAACGTCAGGATTGTCACACATGTTGTAATACGTCACGGATGCAACAGTGATACGTCACAAAGTGTTTCTGTATGTGTCATGACTACTTCATGAATGCATCAGTGGTGCATTACTGCTGCTGTGCATACGTCACAAATATTCTGATATGCGTCATAGATGCACCAGTTGTTCTCACAGCTACATTTCGTGTGTCATGCCTTATAGATGCATCAAAAATGTACCCGAACGCATCACCGAGTTAGGGGATGCGTTACGATATTAAAAGTCAAGGGGTTAATTCGTAAAAGAAAAAAATGGCATGATGCATGCGAATTCCTTGCGGACGGTTACGAGCGAGGAAATGAAGAGGCCTGGAATCGTTGCGACGCTTCGCAGGAGGAAGTAGAACAGAGACGCATCTGTCGTCGATGTTGCTCGTCGTAAATTCTATCACGAGACGTCCTCTAAATGCTCGTAACTAACGCGTTTCCCGCTTTCCTTTTTCCGCGAGCCGATGATTTATCCGCGTTATTAATTTAAGACGGTCCGCGACGAAAACGCGTATCTCAAAGGAATTCCGGTTAAATTGAAAGTGATTCATCGCGCGCGTTGCCCTCTCGTTCTTTCGCCGGTTAAATGGCTCCGTTTGAAGCGGGACGCACGAAACAGAGAGTTCGCGCTTATCTGGCGGCGAGCAAAAATTAAGAAGGAGATTTAAGAGGGCACCAAATCGCGTGCAACGACGTAGTATTTGGCCGCGTGTTATACGCGCAACGTAGGTATCGGTCGTTGTTTTTACGAGGGCCTCGTTTCACCGATACGTTATCCAACCGATCCGTTCCACTTGCCGCGACTTATTATTATCCGCATCTGGGTCGATCTTGATGCGTACCGTTCGCTTAGACACGATTACTTCGTTAACCTTTTCAGGCTCACTGGTTTCTCTACGGCTAGTCGAGAAAAAGCACGCGCGCGTGTATGTTGTTTGACGAGCGTGAAATCAACCAGACGCTAAGTAGGTTCGAATTGTAGGCTGTCCGCTTGTCCAAATTTATTTTACTCGAATTAGTAGAAAGTGGTTTGCCCGCATTGCGTTCTTTTTTTATACCAATGCGATAGAAATAAATTGGACCGAATGTCGAAACATTTCCGTCGAACAACTCCTGAATTTACAAAATCGCTCAACAGATTAACATAATTAGAGCCATGTATCACCGCACGAGTAACATGGTAAAAATATAAATTCGAACATCGATTTAGAATCTGCCCCTGGCCTAATTTTTTCTTTCAGTAAACACGCCTAAATAGATTCACTATTTCCCGAAAGTATATGTGTGAACATGTGGTAGACATAGGCTGGATTAAAGCATCAAAGTTTAGTCAAGTAGCATGACGGATCGTATGCATCTTCCTCGTAGCTCATACTAACACACTGTACATAAAATTGAAGCACCGATATAACGTATAGTTAAACTGTAATGCAATGCGTGAGATGCTATTTGCTTCGACGATCAGTTATGGACGTTGCAGAGATCATATATTCAGTATCGGCCGATACATTTTTCATAGCAAGTTTCTGTAACACTCGTAACGTGTGGTCACGATAAATTTCTCGTTAGAATATGTATGAAGTTCCTCCTATTTTCCAAGAGACATCTAGACCTTAAATTGTGTCATGATACTTGTTACGTTCCGTGTTACGGATTATTTATGAAACCGGTGTTATTTATGATCGAGACAAATAAACTGGATGTTCACCCTGCGCACACACTGTTCGAGGTAATTAGTGTATAATCTGTTCTAGTGATCTTGTTTTCTGATACTTTAAGCAGTTGATTAATGAGTGTATTATTATGTTAATAATTTTCGTATCTGGTTAGAGAGTAGTTACGTCCATCACCCCTTTCCTTGCGATATAATGATATAAAGCAATCTAACCTGTGACCATGTTTATACATTACACTGTCGTTTATTTATGACACTATATTTTGAGATATGTAACGAGCTCGAAACTATCGTTATTATAAGCTCATGGTCGTCGCTTATGCGTGGTGGCTGTTTCTTGTAATAAATCAGGCAAGGAATGTCTTAATATCCCATCTGGGAGATTTTCTTCCTACCTTTTCTTGCACTTTGCTCGATATTTCTGATTACGACATCAACCACTTCATAATTAAACTGCAATTAAAATTGCGATTAAATTGTAATTAAAATTACAAGCAAATTTTAATTAAAATTATAGATCAATTATAATTAAAACTGCAATTACAATTAAATGATAACTGAACAATGTTTGAGAGTCAGAATGCAATCATTAATCGAATTATTTTACAAAATTTATTTTGGAAATTTTTATGTAATTTTTTATACATATGTTTGCTGAATCGAAGGTTTAATATTATAAGAGAACTTTTTCGATTAACGAATTAATATTATTAATCAACATATTTTAATTAACAAGTGAAGTGTATTTTGAAGAAAAGATTTTCGCAGTAGCGATTATCTATCTCGCTCTTGGACAGAAGCGAAATTCAAGAGAGCAAAAATATACCCAATCTAACCGAAACAGAGTCACGTTGGAAATTAATCTTCCCCCCGAGTCGTTTCGATTTCCAATTGCTTCGAATCCGCTGAATCAACAGCGATTCCGCTTGTGTTGAGAGCCAATCCATTTACCCGTCACAAAGCTTAATTTCACCCGAAAAGCTTTAAAAGCGGCTATAATCACTGCTCTTATAGTATCATTTCTCCTGACGTGTTGACAGCCAACGAAACTTCTGCACAGTTACTTACTGACCCTGAAAACGTCAAAGGATCATCATCCTCGAATGTGTGTCTGAGGAGTGAAATAATCTGCCGGAAGTTACTTATCTCTTGTCAAAATAACATTTCTCCTTATCCTGTCGTCGTACGACAACCTCGGGACATGCTTTACTTACGAGCTATTAAACCCTGTTATGACCTTGGCGGTAGTTCCACGTCGTTTTATGGTGGTCGTAAAATTTATCTAGGACCGTAGCTTATGTGGATTTCGAATTGCGGCCGATTCGACCCTTGTTTACCGCTGCAAACGCTATCTGAGCGTCGTGAGAAGCACCTCGTTCCGTTTCCACGGGTCCAGTTTCCGTTATTTTCTTTGTTGCAACTCGTTCGGTGCTCCATCGGTGTCTTAGGAAAATGGAATCATAAAAGGAGGACGATCAGAGAGGGACTTCCGTCTAGTCTCGATAAGGACTTTAGCCCGAACGCAGATATACAATATTGTCAGCTACTCTCGGACATACGGCGATAAAACGCATCGGGAATTAGTAAGATGTACACTTTGCAGAGGGACCGGCGTATCGTAAACGAGAATACGAGGCAATAAAGTGAGATTAGCAAGGTGAACGGTTTACCGAAGTGTCTCTCCGAGTTTCAAATGGTTCTTTATACGTGCAAACGAAGTGAGAATAAATTTGCTCGTTTTGGTAGCGAGAGAGTCGTTGTAATTGAAGAGCATCGTGCCCGTAGGAGAAACAATGTAACGAGCAGAGAATATTCCCACCAGTACGACTCGCATTATCATATCGTTTCAGACGTAAAAGTCGCTGCAGACAACTCGACGCACGTTTTTATTCTAATTGAGATCCAGGTGCATATCAAAGGGCGGTCGTGCCCGCTGCCTTAGTCATCACAAGAAACTTCAAAGATCTTTGAATATTTTATGAAGCACGAATGTCGGCACTCCTCGACTCAACACGCTACATTGTCTCGAATGTTATTTTATTTCCCACAGGTAAAATCGGAATTTATCTAGGGATTTTTACATAAACAAAGGTATTTGTTCCCTTCCTCGATCGCTAAATATGCCATAACATTCAATTTTGATCGCTCACTGTGTTAATGTTCTTAGAATACATCATGTTCTTTCGTGGAGAACTAGAAGGATTTTTGAAGAAGATTACCTAATTTTAGACTTACAAATTCTTTATGGCACAACAGTAGATAATTATATAACATGATACGAATCTACCTTCATAAATGTATGGTAACGAGCAGAGCTAATCTAACCTAATCTTAACCGGCCCTTACATAACTTTGCTTAATCTTAATCCAACCTGATCTACCCCAATTTAACATTAGTTTGCCTAATCTACCTAAATCTTACCCAGTCTAACCTCTAATTTTCCAGTAGTATGCGTTGGCAGGAGAACCACATGCAAACTTGCATACTCAGTTCAAATCATTGAATCTAAAAAATGGTATCAGTGTGGATCTTAATGCCCGTAATCCAGCCCAGGATACTTGGTCAGATAGGAATAAGAATGAACCAAAGCATAATCAATTATCTGAACGTTTATTATTTACAAAATCGACTGTTGCGCTAGGAGAATGCCTTGAGGTCTCCGAAGAACAGCCTCATTCTCTCCTTGAGTTCATCCGCGTACCTAAGCGCGGACTCGTCGACAGTGACGTCCTCCATGAGTAGTTCGCAGTCCAAGTGTCTATCATCGCATGCCCTATGGTGATGCTTAAGGACGTCTTCCGGGTCGAAGTGATGGGCTCTCCTGGTGGACGGATTCAACGTGGCTAGCGCGTAATGATTATGCACCGTTAAAGCTCGTCTCGTCGATACGAAGCTTTTCACGGAATCACCTTCCGGCGAGATACACGCGGTCCTCAGCGTGTCCAGATAATCTAGATCGTCTAGGGAATTCGGTGAATCCGTGTCAGGCGTCGGGCGGTCGCTCTGATTCTTAGCCTGCAGTTCCGGAAAGAAATAAGCGTTCCTGACTGCGTACGAGGCGAAGTCCTTGAAGCTTCGGCCGAGTTTGATCCTCTCGTCCAGCAGAAGCTCGTACCAGTTCCTCCTCCTGGCAGGGACAATCGTCTCGTCGATGTCGATGGGCAGCACGAACTCGGATCGATGGAGGTTGTCGTAAAAGCAATGGTTGTACGGTATCAGCTCCATTCGCCTCTTGATCCAAATGTTCTCAGCCAGGAACCGCCTCCTGGCGTGCTTCTCGTTCGGCAGGTCACCAGGTAGCGTCAGATTGAACCATCTGATCACGTTCGACTGCTCGTACAGCCTCAACACCTCCAGCACGTTCTCGTGCACGCTGAACACGTAGAAGTAGAAGAGCTGAGCACCCAGGATACGATGGAGCTCCACGAACGCGACCAGCTTCGACGAGATGTCCTCGTCGAAGTCCAACCCTTTGATGCACACGGTGAACTGCCGTCGACGTTCGTCCACCTCGTTCCTCTCCCTCCCGTTTATCGCTAAACTATGACTAGCATTCTGCTGGCAGGGTTCAGGGCCCACGTACACCTTGGACGGCTCCAGAGCCCCGTCTACGGGCAATTGACAACCGACCAGAATACCCGCGTAGCTGTCCAACGTCTCGCCCCACTCGTCCAACCAAATTGTGGAGACCAACGCCTCCACGCTTATGGCTCTACCTCGATCCTCTTCTTCGTACCTGACGAACAAAGCAAACATCTGAATCCGCGTTCAACCGGGTCAAGTGGGATTTTGTAACGGGATCTTGGACTTGATTTGCATAATCGCTCGAATTATGAAACAGACGCTCCTGCTGTATGGGGAAAGTTTGCCTTCGAAGTTAGATTAGAATGGCTGTTCGTGAACGATTTTAGGATGTTCTTTAGAAACGGTGTGATTAACCTGTTAACCAAGGGCGATATGTTAGCTCGGTATTGGACAATTTTTTTATGATGCACGTATCAATTTCTCATATAATCTCAAGCATCAGAACATCAACCATATTAATTATTATTTATTATCATATAGATGTAGTGCAATTGTAGCTATGACTACATATTTCCTAACTGTAAATCTTAGAAAATTTTCATGAAAACTTGAGAGCGGTTTTATAGTTTGAGGACATGGAAATTTGAACAGTTATGTATCGAAAATTGAGACGGAAAGAAGACGAGGAATCGAAGAAAGTGTCTCACCAAACGGTGCAGAAAAGGTTGGAGGTCGGCAGAGGTCCACGTTTAACGCCAATCACCCTGAGGCTCGGATACCCGGCCACTCTCAGGTCCAAGTGGGCGCTGTACAGGAAGAGCTGTCCAGGGATTGTCTCGAGCCACTTCGCGTCGGCTAACTTGAACGTATTTAACGTCGTTCCGTACGTTCCATTACCGTCGCACTCCTTGGAGGGTCTGTAATCGAGTGCCAATCTCCTCGCCCACGAGTAAGCCACGATGCTTCTTGTGCCTGGAGGTTCACCACCTGGAAAATGTGTCAAGGAGATTGAGACCGTGATAGTTGCGTGACGCACGGTATATGCCTCGCTCATTAACGCGGAAGTGGCCGCGTGTGCTTTCGGGGTAATTAATTCGAAACGATCATCACGCGATGCGGTGTTATTAAATGAAAAGCTCAGTCGCGTGAAAGGTGAACTTTAGTTCTTCGTTTTTTGTAACTATTATGGGAACTTGGGATGACTAAGGGAATCATGCTTGTTTCATGACGTTTATTTCAAGGAAGTTGCCTGATATGTTGTTCAAGATCTGCCTGTTTTTTAATAAGCTTTGTGTCACTTTTTCTGTTCTAGTTGTTTGGAATTTAATGTGAGAATTTTTGTTGTGACGAGTGTTTATAATGATATAAGTGATGTACGAGGAGATATGTGGATGATGGACAATGTATTAATACAGTAAATTCTGTGGGGTTAATAGTTCACGTGCAGTTACTTGTTCTACAGAATACCTGTATCTCTATGTGTAAACCTAGATTTCTAGATCTTTGCATATCTACTTTCCTACTTGTCTGTATTTCCAAATAAATTTAACTGAATAATTAATTTTTGATGGTAAACACATAAAATTTCCCGCAGTGGATGAGTAGGTACTAAAAACTGGAGTAAATCAAAATTTACATTTGTACATTACATCACACAATGCATGTACATCGTAGCCAACTACTGCAATTCAACTTGTAATTCGTAACGAGGCACTAACTATCTGGCAATCTCCGCGGAGGATTCACAAGCGGAATCATCAATTTGACCAATACCTCCCACACAGCCAGTTTCAAGGAACTAGCATGCAACATTAACGTCGCCAGTTTATAGTCTCATACAAATTCGTTTCTCGCTCCCGATGTCGCTACGACTGGCGACGCATCCCACGACTAGAAAAGCTAGACATCCATCTAGAAGAGACGTCCAGGATGTCGAAGTGAGCGGAAACGTTGCGTCACCGTCTCGAAACCGGACGTAGCGTATCGTGAATACGTTTGCGTGCCAGCGGACGATCAATGTCGTATCGAAATTGTCCTCCGCCATAATTCTATCGGCGATATCCTCTAATTCCTGTCTCGAGCCACGTCGATCCGCGTCACTGACCTCGGACGAGCGCCGATCGGTTATATACACAGAATTTCAATTGCACCGTTCGTTAATTGGCCTCTAATAGCGAATACGCTTGGTCTGCGTAGCCGAGGGAAAACTTGTTTCGCGCGGAGTCACGAACGGCCGCGAGTCACGACCACTTGCCGTAGCCTGGCCATATTTTAATTTCTTTTACCGGCCATCGATTCGTTTAATGAATTCAACGGTGAAATACGCGATTTATGCACGCACGATAATACGCAGACGGAATCGCGGGAGCTGACAATCAACCGCGCTATATGGCGCTAGGTTTCAGCTGCACTGTTTCAGAAATTAGAAATCTTTTAATTTAGAATTTTGGGACTTGAGGATTTTTAGATACTTTCTCGTGTTATGGCAATTTGAGAATTCATGGACTTGGAAGTAAAAGATTTACCAAAATAATTTAATTCAAGTTTGGAACTTTAGTGAGGCTTTAAGTGACGAGTGTACATTATCTGAAAAATGAACATAAAACTATTTCAAATTTGTTCACATTTGTTAATAATATTGAAAACATTCTGAGCGCTGAAACGTAGAGAACCGTGAAACGATCGTGTGTGGTTTCCTTAACATAACTCGATACAAGGCAGCTCCGCGCAACCCAATTAAATCTCACGGTTGAGTTGCGTATACAAGCTTTGATCGCATCGATCCCGCGCTCCGGCGTGTTAAACAATTTGTTCCGAACGAACGGAACGTCGATCCCGAACGATTCGTTCGTTGTAGATACGGTTGTAGCGTCGTTAAAAGTTGTGTCTACGTTTGACCCAACAACCGCGTATTACGCTGATGCGTACTATCTGTAAGCCTCTCTCGGTGCCCTTTACCGGCGCCGCTTCCTCCTTTCCCTCTTAGGCTGCACGGTTCGCCAGCTTTACGAGAAAGTAAATGCTCTTACGAGATCCACGTTCGAGTGGGGGCCCGATAGAAATACGCGGATAAACGCATGCAGGCAGAAAAATTTATAGAACGTTTCTGGGCCAGCCACCCCTTATTGCAATCTGTAGATCTGGAGTTTTAACTCTTCAAATAGCTCTCTTGTGAAGATTATTATATAGAATATACTCCTCGTCGAATATAAGGAAATACACGGAGCAGGTTGAAATTTGTGGGGCACGTTCTTATAATTTATATTTTTATTTTCTGATACTTTATATTTTCACGTATTGTATTTTTATATATTTTATATATTTCATGTATTTCGTGTATTTTTAATTTTTATATTTTTATGTTTTTGTGTTTTTATATTTTTATGTTCTAATATTTTATATTTCCACGTATTGTATTTTTACATATTTTATGTATTTCATGTATTTTTAATTTTTATATTTTTATGTTTTTCTGTTCTGATATTTTTATATTCTAATATTTTATATTTTTGTATCTTGTATTATTATACTTGATATTTGTGTTTTTGATATATTTGATATATTTGATATATTTGATATACTTGATATACTTGATATACTTGATATACTTGATGTATTTGATATACTTGATATACTTGATGTATTTGATATACTTGATATATTTGATATACTTGATATACTTGATGTATTTGATATACTTGATATATTTGATATACTTGATATACTTGATATACTTGATATACTTGATATACTTGATATACTTGATGTGCTTGATATACTTGATATAGTTGATATATTTGATGTATTTGATATATTTGATATATTTGATATATTTGATATACTTGATATATTTGACATATTTAATATATATTTAACATATTTGATATATTTGATATATTTGATATATTTGATATATTTGATATATTTGATATATTTGATATATTTGATATATTTGATATATTTGGTATATTTGATATATTTGATATGTTTGATATACTTGATATATTTGACATATTTGATATATATTTAACATATTTGATATATTTGATAGATTTAATAGATTTGATAGATTTGATATACTTTGTATATTTTGTACATTTGATATACTTCGTGTTATATTCTAATATCTTCCAAGAAAACATTTCCTGTTTTTTATTCCAACGTCGTACTTTCCAGTATTACAGACTTAAGATATATATCCACAAATAAATTTTTTACACCATAAAACATCTATTCACCGTTACATCCCATAAAAGTTCATAAACGCAGTTTTTTCGAGCCCGAAGCAATCATGCACTGCAGGGTTGAATCCCAGTCTTAACTCGATCTCTGACAACTTCCTTCTCCACCTGCTCTAATCCCTAATCCCTCGATTCTGCCCATAAGAACCTATAAATACCTATGACCATACATCACACGTGCAGCACAAACAGTAATCATTAAGCAACGACCGGTCGAACATTGAGGCAGCATCAAAAAGTTGTACAATGATTACCGAGCCCGTGACGCAGAGAATGGAGACAATGAAGTTCCAGCAAAAGCGAAAGATAATCGACCACAGTCGTCGATTTACAACTTAACTCCTTTGAAGCGAGACGAAATGACGCGTACAATAATCGCGTTCATCGGTCACGTTAATGCGAGCGGGGCAAACGCAAACGTATTTGTTCGCTGGGTTTTTATCATCGCTGAACGTACGTACTCGTGTCCTTACGTGGAAATCGAGTGGCCGCGGTCGATCGTCGGTTCAATCGGGCTGTAAATTACGTCACCTAATGAAGTTGCTACCGCCAAGGAACCGTGTAAAGATTTGTATCCACGATAAGCCGGTGTCACTGCGTCGCGGTTGATTTACGGTGTACGAGGCGCGCTTTTTGCACGCGATTCGATTTGCACGATTTTCTGGCCGAACTCTTTCGATCCCGATTATCCCCCCACCTCGATAACGGGATTTATTGCGGTTTAAATCGCAGGACGATTCGTGGGCGAAATGTGTTTATGCTAATGGTGGATTGTTATCGATTAACTAGGTACACGGTTATCGAGGGGAAAGAAAATCGTCGGAAGAGCCTCGGATCTACACGATCATCGTTGTTCGCCGAGTTTATGACTTGCAAGTCCTCGCGCGGGCTTCGTGCCGGCCAAGAAACAACGGTGTTCTAAGTTGTTCAACGGTTGATTGGCATTTTAACCCGCTGCAGTCGGATTTAATCGATCGGACCGATATAGTGTGCATCATCGTTTAACTTCATTTTCAATTACAATATGAGGTACATTCTAATTACTCTCCTATAGAAGTTGATAAGATTGAGTGACTTGCAAGGAGTAAGAGAATGAATAATTATCCATGCTGAATCTAATCGGGAATAAATCATCTCCTCGATAATGAAGTAACACGTTTAAAAAATTTGCGAAGTATTTCACTGAAAGGCGGTTGTTTTCCTCTTGGATATTAAGTTAAAATGTAAGATGTTCATTAATTTTAAGTTTATGTTCATCATGTTTTATGAGATTTCAAGGCAGATCATTTTAATTTCTTTTTACTTTTATTTTATGAACATGCAGTTTAAGGTAATACAGAACAAATTTTGCAAGTTAAATAATTAAATGAATCTTGTTGTACAAGAAGTTTGTAACTGTTTGCAATTAGTAGTTTAATTTTCTACTAATAAAAAATATATCTTATAAATAAGAGTACCTACTTGTAAACTTAAAGAATTATATAAATAAATAATAATCTATTACAAGAAGTTTTCAATGTATCTTATATGTAACAATACTTACATGTAGTATTAAATAGATATTAAATTAAATGAATAATAAATATTAATTTTTATTACAAAAAGCTTCAAATGTATTTTAAAAATGAAAATACCTTCACAAGTTATTTAAATAAATAATTTGCTACATGCATTCTACATACAAAAATGTCTGCTAGTAAGTTCACGGCATCAGTACATAATTTTCTACAACAAAAAGCTTTAAACATATCCCAGGAATTCCTCCCTTTTTGCAGGTATTTCCATGGAAGCTGAATGTACCATAAGTCCCTAATAACCACTAGAATGTAACTGCAAGAAGTTGCAAGTGAAAAATAATGAAAATGAACAACCAGAAATTTAATAACACTTTCGTAGTGCATAATGATCTGCATTGATAGTCGGTTTTAAAGTAGAGGATGTTCGAGTATACATCGTTTAGGTAATTATTTGTTTAAGTACTTGTTTAAAGAGAAGCTCATTTGCCAATTAGAATCAAAAGCGGTATTAAGCGTAATCGCTCGAACTGTGAATTAATGGCGGGTTAAAAAGTTGCGGGGAATTTTCCTTTTCTTTGGCGGCCAGGCTTAATGCTGGGAAAGTATTCGTTGGTAGGAAATAGTACGAGTAGTACGGCACAAATCTCTAGTAGCCTCGGAACAGAGCTATGGTTCTACGTGGGAATTACCGGTCGTGTAACTACAGACCTGCGTGTCGTATATCAATCGCTTTGTCAGCGAAAATGTTTTAACTATCTCATCACTTTTACTCTCCTTCCAGACTCTTTTTCTGGGGGACCCTCCGCCGGTTTCGTTTTCCGTCGAACTTGCGATTTCGACGAAGATTTTATATTCTTATAAGCATTTTAGTATATGAAAATAGAGACACCTGAAATAGAAGCTGATAACAGCATTGTTTCGATATTTGATTTAGGGATTTAGGAGATTTAGGAGGTTTAGGGATTTGGGAATTTAGATGGTTGGAAGTTTAGAGATTTTAAGTTTTAGATATTTTTGGATGTAGAGATTTGGGGGTCTGGGAATTTAGGGATGTGTATATTTGGAGTTATAGGAATTTGCAACGTTAGGGAGCTGGGAATATAGGGATTTTTAACTTTGCTAATTTTGGGATATAGTGATTCACAACTTTAGATATTTAAAAATTTGTGAATTCAAGGATCTTGGAATTTCAGGTATTTTGAAATCTAGGGATTTGGGGTCTAGAAGTTTGGAACCCTAGGGATATTATGATTTAGAGATATGGGAATCTAGGGATTTTTAATTTTACGAGTTTTGGGATATAGCGATTTTTAACTTTAGATATTTAGAAATCTGTGAATGGGATTTGGAGTTTTAGGTATTTTGAAATTTAGAGATTTGAAGGTCTACGATTTTGGAACCCTAGGGATTTTATACTTTAGAAATACGGGAATCTAGGGATTTTTAATTTAACGAATTTTGAGATATAGTGATTTTTAACTTTAGATATTTAAAAATCTATGAATTTAAGGATCCTGGGATTTAGAATTTTAGGTATTTTGAAATCTAGACATTTGAAGGTCTAGGACTTTGGAACCTTAGGGATTTTATATTTTAGAGATCTTGAAGAAATCTGGGGATTTTTTACTTTACGAATTTTGGGACATAGTGATTCATAACTTTAAATATTTAGTAATTTGTGAATTTCGAAATCCTGGCATTTTATAGATATACTTAATATGGAACTACAGATATTGAGAAATGGTTTAGAGGTGTAAAGATTTCATACTTTATGTATATAGAATTCTAGATATTTCAGAATCTAGAGAATTTTAAACTATATTTGAAAATCTACGGATTCAGTGATCTAAAAATTGTGAACTTCAAAAATTTCGAATTTCAGATATTTCGCAATCCAGAGATTCGATACCACGGATATTTAAAACTTCATCGAAAGTCTTGAAATTTTACTATGCAGGAATCTGCGGTTCAAAACATCCAGGTATATAAATACACCTTGCCATACCTCTCGAACACCATTTTGTTTAATAACGTAAATTGAATTCAAACGAATTATGCTATAAAAGATTTAGTGCCTCTAAATGAAATTTTGAAATTGAATTATTTCATTCACGTTATAAAATTCGGATTATTCCCTGAAAATCCTGAATGATTTACGTAATTCGAAACTTGTCCATAAATTCCACATTCACGATGCCAAATCGTGATATCGGGATCGCTCTGAGCTGATTTTATATGCAAATATAAATTTGCATGTTTAAAGCTGTGACTATCGATGACCCATGATGCTTCAGGCTTTTATATAGGAATAGTGAAGTTAAGACTCAGCCGGGGAAATCTAACAGGTGGTAGGAAAACATTATTCACGCGTTAACCCTTTGCGAACGATTAACCCATATATGGATTCTTGCAGAATTATTCTTTCACAGGAACAAAAACCATGCATATACACACGATAGAGATTTATTATACACGCTTCGCGGAAGTGAATTATTGCTTATTTTATTTCTAACATTTGTCCATCGAAGATTAAGAAAACTTATTTCGAGTAATTTATGTTCTGATTCTTCGATCAAATCTTTTTTAAATTGTACTTGTTCGTGGTCGTTGATCATCGAGTCACAATTCCATTATCTGAACGTTTATCATTAATTATAAATATTATTTCGAACACACGGTGAATAATTTTGCAGTTATAGGTAAATTATGATATTAATTATTTTTATTCCAATGGAGTTAATATTGAAGGTGAAGAGAGTTTCTGGAAAATTTTTGTAGGTTTTGTTTAACGATTTTTGTCATAAAAATGAAGGTCAGCCAGATGCTTACAGATGTTATTTGAGATACGATGATACATTATTCATTATACGATGATGTTATTTATGTTACTTATTATATGATGATGATGGTATTTGAAGGTACTGATTTTCAACCTTGAAGATATAATTAGAAATAAACTTATGGATAGTTTTAAGTCAAACTAACTCAGTCTCGTTGACTAAATAGATCAACAAAAATTTCACTTCAAATTGACCTATCTGATGGTTCCAACGTTATACTTCTTTCTAAATATATGCTACAAACACTCATGTTAAAGGTTACGTATCATCATTGTTTTTTAATTGACATCAAGTCATCTAACATTAGATCAGTTTGGTCAAGTTAGATCAGGTGTCAACTACTTTAAAAAACATCTCCAACTCTAAATTCACAAAATCCGCACCAAAAATACACCACTTTAAAAAATATATTAAACGATGATCGTGAATCAGCTGTCGGGTGCAAAGGGTTAATAGCAGAGCTCCGAACGAAGGGGGGAGTTCTTAGATACAGAATCGGTTGGTCGAAAACGAAGAGGGCATTGTTAGGTGGCATAGGCGCGTCGGCTAGTGGCGTCGTACTGTTCGGCGATAACGAAAGGGCAAAGGTTACGCGCTGCTGGAGGCAAAGGAGCGTGTCTACGAAGAAAATTGCTTACCCGGCGTGGGAGGAGGATCCGCTGGAGGATCCGGGAGTTGTGGCGGCGAATCCAGCAGGGTCAACACGCACAACGCGGTGACCAACACGGCGACCAGACCCACTCTGCATAGCCTCCTGGTGCCGGCGACCGACATATTTGTCCTCGTGCCTTCGTCCCCGATCACCGTGCGATCCTCGATATCCTTTCGGCTGTATCCATGTTCCCACGCGATTTGCAATTCAATTTTTACCGACTCCAAATCGGACGGTTTCTACCAAACTTGATTCGTACACCAACACTAACAATCGGCGAAAATCATTGTCTGCTTTTAATGGAGACCCGATGCGATTCAGATACAATTTCTGTTTTCTCGAAACGAAGAGAATCGTATCAAGTCTTTGAGTTTTGCAGAATACAGGAACCACATTTTGGGACTTTGAAATATTTTTTCAAGGTTGACATTCAAGGTCATCGTATTTTTTCAAGGTTATCATACACTTTTGTATGAAGTGATGAGACTCTTAGTTTCTTAGATGTTCACAATAAATATATCTTTAAATTTTTCAAATTATGTAATTCCTAAATTTCCATTACTGTAACCTTTAGATATATTGGGGATGGACTACATACACTACCGTGCATCCGGACACTTGGTTTCGTTACATAAAACATAGTTGAACTTTGTACGAAAGGTATTTAGGGTTATCATACTATTTGTAATAATTATTATTATCTTTTTTGAGGTGTCATAACGTAATAGAATTAATTTTTAAGTACAAATTATACAATGAAAGTGTGAAAGTAAAATTCATGTCCGTAAGTACAAAGTCCAAATTTGTGAATCTAATGAAACGCTTTCGATTCTAAAAAAAATTTTAATTTCTACTGTGTCTCATTTCTATGGTGCAGAATGTATTCAGAGGGTTCTTCGATATGTTTCAAGTGTTTGTAAACTGTTGGTAGATGTTTAGGTTCCCTCAATGGAGATAAGAATGGAGGTAACGCTACGCATTCGACAGTTTCGGTTTAGTTCGTCTGTAGCTTCTTTTCCATCGAGATATGAGTTCCAAACGAGAATTATCAATGGAAAAACGTTCCAGTATTCTGACCTTCGCAGAAAAAAAATCGATTTTAGTTACTGCTGTAGATACTTGAATAACTTTCATGCAACGCGAATACATATTTCGCTGATGTTCGGATATTTATGGACGGTAGTGTACATATGTCATGTGGCTCCTTTATTCTGTATACTTATCAAGTTTTTAAAAGTGTAACACTACTGCTCGAATGTATCTGATCAGTTATTGCAAGTTGTGTCATTATTTCAATATTTCATTATAAATTTTTAATTTACACACATGTAATGTGAAATTATCAGTAGTTAAAATTTTACAACTGCATAGAAAGCTAAAATCTTCAGTTCAAAAAATGCAGCAAGGACCTTATTTTGTATCAAACTATAGTTGACTAATGAAATGTACTTTACTTCTGAAACAGCCAAAAAATGTGTAGCAGTTATAATTATATTAAAGGAACGAAATAACTGAAAATTAGTACTAGAATAATTCTACGACCCAGAAGTGTGTGCCTTTTTAGAACATTTCCACAGCAGAATTCCACCATTAAGAAATATTATACTCTGCACAAAAACCAGATCAGAAATGACTAACATACGTTGTCGACGGTTTAATTGATCCAAGGAAGTCTAACATATTTATTCCACACGACGTATGATCAGATACTTTCGAGCAGCACATAACCCCCCATTGGAATGTACCTTCAATTACTCAAGTTCGATCAACGTTTGGCGCCGAAGCAGGAAGATCCGGTCAATCGAAAGCGATCGACTGGTCGCGCGTATCGAATCGACCCGTGAATGACGCACTGTGAACGATCAAGCTCGAATTGGCGACGGTGCAATGTGGATCGATCAGACGATCAGGCTTTTCTGGTTCTCCCGTCACGCTGCTTTGCATAACACGCTCCGCTACACTTTCATCGTTCTTAACGCTTCGGCCCGCGGAGTTGTACCAGCGATCTGTTATATGCCTCGTTCGACATATATACGCGGTCAGCCGCGGACTGGTTCAGTGAAATCGCGGAAATCTGGATTTATAGGATGCCGGTGCGGCTATAAACGCGATCCTGGCGTGCTCGCTGTGCATTCAGCCACGAGACTGAAAGTTGGCACGCGATTCCGCGTTAATGACGATGCCTGGGCCCGTTGATAGACGTTCTCGTATCGAAATCGAGTTTGTTTCGAAATCGTTCGATATCGGGCCGAGCGCCTGTGATCATTCAAGCTTCTTCTTTTTCGCGAAAATTGAGAGCCTATAACGAAGTCGCCACCGAATCTGTCTTCTGCCGCGTAAAAAGCAGCGTGGAAGCTGCGCGACCTCCCACGCGACGATCCGCTTCCTCCGGCTCCGTAGGCAGCTGGACCATGTATGGTCGTCCTGCGAGCCTTCGACAACTCTCGAGACCGTCGATAATCTAATTAACCCGGTATCTCTGTCCCTTTCAAAGTTTTTTCTCTACGTCCCGTCAATCCTGTTAACCAACTCTGTTTTTCCCCCCTTTCGTTCCGCCGATTGTTCCACGGATTGGTGATTGACCCCCGACGAAAAGTTCAGCAACGGTATCGATTTGGTGCCGTTTCTAATTCATTCGTCACCCGTTTTTGGTCTCGCCTCACTATCGAACGAACATGAGAGCCTGTTCACGGCCAGATCGCGTTTCTTTGTCACGCTGTCCGTTCAATTCGAGCCGTGAGAACCGAACGATCGACTCTATTTACGAACAACGAATCGAACGTTTGCATTCACAACGCGATGCACGGCTGTGCTCGTATCTGGAGCGGCTCTCGCTAGTTAGCCGAGCATTAGGCTCTTAAGAGGCTCGTAATATTCGCGTTTCTTTTTGCTCGCTGAACGAGAATGGTCTCTCTTCTTGTTTTTGTTAATCTTCTCCTTTCTGGATTGCTACTGGCTACGGGTGCGTAACCAGTGTCTCCTTTGCTCCTCGTTGCTTAACGACCTAGCCAGATGGATGCGCGACACGTTCCCGCGATGGAACTGCTCGGACATTATGGAAATTTCTCTTGGTGCTCTATGGAACTCTTTTTCGTTCATATTATTGATGCTTTACTCGTTCGCTCGTTATAAACTCATGAGTGCTATTCATTTCATCAAGTATGTCTGTCAACGATTTTAGATCTAGTCCTTAGGAATCACATTGGTATCATTAGCATTCCAGTCTTCAAATTTATCACCTAGTTTCAGACCTACTTGTGTAAATTGTACAAAGATTTGTTGTACAAACTTGCACACACTTGAATTTGGATACAAGTTTGAATACTTAATGGTCAAATCGCGAATTCATCTCCTTGAAGTCTGAGTTCGATTACCGAGCGATACACATTCCTCTAGTAATAATACGTGATTCTATCACATTTTCCTAGAACATTTTCCTGGTAATACCACATGCTCCCAGTAATACCACAGCCTGAAATCTCGTCTTCTAGCAATGCCACATCCCTACATCGATAGCATCAACGTATCAATTTAACGTCATAGACCTTGACATCTAAAGTCTGAGCATTCAACAATCAAAGGGAAATCACCGGTAAAGTCTCAGTTCGATTACATCGATTCACATTCCTGCGCATCCACCTAAGTATAGCACATGGTCCTACCACATCCACCTAACAATAGCACGTCTCTATCGATACACATTCCTCCATACCGCATCCACCTAAGTATAGCACATGGTCCTACCACATCCACCTAAGTATAGCACGTCTCTATCGATACACATTCCTCCATACCGCATCCACCTAAGTATAGCACATGGTCCTACCACATCCACCTAACAATAGCACGTCTCTATCGATACACATTCCTCCATACCGCATCCACCTAAGTATAGCACATGGTCCTACCACATCCACCTAACAATAGCACGTCTCTATCGATACACATTCCTCCATACCGCATCCACCTAAGTATAGCACATGGTCCTACCACATCCACCTAACAATAGCACGTCTCTATCGATACACATTCCTCCATACCGCATCCACCTAAGTATAGCACATGGTCCTACCACATCCACCTAAGTATAGCACATGGTCTACCACATCCAGCTAACAATAGCACATCGATACACATCCTTCCATACCACATCTGACTGTATCACATGCTACCACAAGCTAGCAGCACATCCAGTAATCTGTGTGTCGATCACATTGCTGTGAAGGTGTGAAGGAAAGAGGTACCTGGTCGGACACCGGAACAGCGTGTTCACAGCAGGACGCTTCCGTCCGGTTCGTAAGTCACCGAAAACACGTGGTCGGATCCCGTGGCCGAAACAGCCGGATCCCGAAGAACGTTGCGCACGTGGTCGCCGGATCGACCGAGCGGATTGGTGCAATCTCGCCTGCGCGAGAGTCCGAAGCGTACTGCGTTCGGCGGGAGGTGAACGCGCCAGCAGAGCCTCGCTGAGTCTCGACAACTTTGGACCCGTTGCTTCAGCGTGGCTCGCCAATGCGCTTTGCCTTGCCTCATCCCTGCTCTGCTCGCTTTTACTCGCCTCGTCTCGCCTCCTCTCGCCGGCCAACTAGCGACTCCTTCCTCCGCGACTTGCCTTGCTTAGCTACTCTGTTCTGCTCCTCCGGATAGTTAGTTTACCTTGTCGCAACCTTGCGAACCACACCGCGTTTACCTCGCTTCTGTTTTCTTCTCTTATCCTCACGATGCACTGCTACCCCCTTTCTATCTGCTACTCGAGGTGTTTTCAGGAGACTTCAGGGTGGTCAAACTGTTTGTTTTGGAGATGTCGGAGGATACATGTTGCGGAGACCTTTTCTGGACGGGTGGATGGCATCTGCGGCTCGAGTTTTGCAACATTTGATTTTGGGATAGCTAAGAAGTTGAGTCACCTGGGATTTGAGGATTTTTGAATTTTTGAATCAGTAAATCTGAATATTTGAATTTTAAGATGTCTGAACATAAAACTTCTCAAACCTTGAAATCTTAATGGCTAAACTTCTAAATTCTTAAATTTCTGAATTCCTAAATTCCTAAATTCCTAAATCCCTAAACTTCTAGATCACTAAAATTCTGAATCCTTAAACTTTTATGTCCCCTACCTCTTAAATTCCTAAATTCTTAAATGTCAGAATTTCTAACTCCCTATGTCCTTAAATCGCTAAACTGCTAAATCCTTAAGCTTTTAGCTTCCTAAGCTTCTGAACCCCTAAAGTTGCAAACTTCCAAACTCCTAAATCCCCAAACTCTAAAATCCCTAAATTCTTAAACCTCCCAGGTCCTAAGTCAAATTTTTAACTCCCCAAACCCTAAAGTTCTAAAATTCCTAAATATTAGAATTCTCAAATTCCCATACCGCAAAGTCCTTGAACCCTCAAAAACCCTAATTGCCGGATTTCTAAAACTCCAAATCTGGAGTGACGATCATTAGCACGCCGGATGAACAAACAGTCTGTGAAAGAGCTCTAAAATGAAGTTATTCATTACCCAAGGCCTAGAGAGGTTCAAAATAAATTACTATGATGAATAACTACGATTCTCAACGCTCAAAATGCCTGGTGGCGTCTGTGTGCCGCTTTAATAGACACCCTTAAGGTTCTCCTCGTATAACTTTATTATTTGAAGCGTCCAAACACTACATTAACATTATTAATAACTTATTATAATTACCGTGTTATTTTAGTACGATAATTTGAAAAAGAATCTGAAATTTTATTCGTTTCTACGAATCGGTTAACATTGAACTACCAAATTATTATAAATTATTATAATTGACCCATAATTTCTATTGTCCATATTAAAAAAAGAAATACAACGGTTAAGAACATAGAATAAGCGTTACGGAATAAACGTAATACATGAGCGTGATGGCATAAGTTGCATGACTGTACGCGATATGTTCCGCGGATTTTATTACCCCTTGTACATACGTACACGTGTACACCTTTTGATTGAACATTGCCGTTGTAATGAACGGATTAAAGTGCTCGATATTTTCTATAATTATGATTATAATTATTATAGCGTCACATAAAAACGAGTATTGGCTACGCAAGGTGGAAATGCTAATGAAGGCAGAGTATATTAATAAAATTGTGGAACTAATTAATCAGGATACTGGAGGCGATATATGTTGCATTTGCATAAGTTTAATGGTCTTGGGGGAAAAATTGGTTATCACGCAGAGTTATGGCTGCGGTACGCTCGGAAAATGTGATTATGTACCATATTTAGAAATGTAGAATTTCCGGATATCAGACATATGGAAATTAAAAAATTTTTAGATAAATTTTGTTAATTTAGGATTTGTGGAATTTTGGATATAGGAATTTAGTAGGTGGACATGTGGAATTGGGGAATTTAGAAATTGGGGATTTTAGGGATTGGAAGTACAGGTTGTAGGAAATTTGCAATTTGGGGAATTTGGAAGATGGGAAATGTGGGAGTGGGGAAATTTGGAAGTTGGGGAATTTAGAATTTGGGAAATTTAGAATTTGGGAAATTTAGAATTTGGGAAATTTAGAATTCGGGGAATTTAGAATTTGGGAAAGTTAGAATTTGGAAAATTTAGAATTTGGGAAATTTAGGATTTGGGAAATTTAGAATTCGGGGAATTTAGGAATTGGGACATTTACAATATGGTCAATTTAGAATTTGTGCAATTTAGAATTTGTGCAATTTAGAATTTGGGAAATTTAGGATTTGGGAAATTTAGGATTTGGGAAATTTAGAATTTGGAAAATTTAGGATTTGGGAAATTTAGAATTTGGGAAAGTTAGAAATTGGGAAATTTAGGATTTGTGAAATTTAGAATTTAGGAAATTTAGAATTTAGGGAATTTGGAAATTGGGAAATTTAGAAATTGGAAAATTTAGGGTTCAAAAATATAAGTACTAGGAAATTTGAAATTTGAAATATAGGAATCGGATATTTAGAAATTAGGAAATGTAAAATCTGGGGAATTCAGAGTTATCTTTAGAAGTTCGGATATTCTTGAATTTTTAACTCTGGATACCAAGAAATGTCATAAACCAAAAAATCAAAGAATTTCAAAATCTGTAACTTCTAAAATCTAGCAACTTTCAAACTTAGAATTATAGAAACTTGAAAATTTGCTTTCGTAACTCAACAATAAACCCTAAATCAACCATTCGAAAATTGCTTCATTAACTAGAATCTATCTAAAAATAATTCTTATCTACACCGCGGCCGAAGGTCACATAACCTTAAGAAATGCATCCGAGTCGACAGTGTACCGATCACATCGATTCAATGTTTCCCTTTTTCACGTGTTTTCTAATTCAGAATGTGGTTGGAAATTTCACGACACCCTTCTGAACTCGCCGTGTACGTCTAATCGTTTCAACTTTTTCCCATGGACGTAGGGAACTTGCAGCTTTTTCCCGAGGCGTTCCCCGTGATCGACGATACCTTTCAGATTGCGGCACGTTCTTTCCCCTCCTCGACTCGATGGCTTAACGTCTCTTTTTTCCCCTGGCTCGTCGACCACCGTGAAGCATCTACCACTTGTTGTACTTGTCAAAGCGTATTGCGCGTTGACCGATGGCGACGAGAAATGCGGCGAGTTCATTTAAAGCATCCTGACGCGACTCGTTCGGGTGATAGCGGCACGCAACTTCCTCTGCAAATTGCTTTCAACTGTATCTCACAAAGATGGAGGGTAGAACGGTTTACTTTAGTCCAATAACGGGATGGATAACAGATATCAACCCATAGTCACTTCCACCACTTGAGTGAAATATATTTACTTTACTCACTCAAAATACAAATCCATTATTGGAGAGTTCTTTAAAAATTTTGTATAAATATTCATTTTCTTTAGAAATATATTTACTTTGCTCCAAATACAACTCCATTATTGTAAAATTCTTGAAAAATTAAATATTTATTTTCGTATAAATTGTTCATATTTTTTTTAAATATCTTTACTCCAAATACAAATTCATTATTGAGGACTTCTTGAAAAATTCAATATTTATTTTCGTATAAATTGTTCATTTTTTTTAGAAATATTTTTACTCCAAATACAAATTCATTATTGAAGAATTCTTGAAAAATCCAATATTTACTTTCGTATAAATTGTTCATTTTTTTTTTAAATATCTTTACTCCAAATACAAATTCATTATTGAAGACTTCTTGAAAAATCCAATATTTATTTTCATACAAATATTCATTTTTTTTATATTCGTCAGGACTTTAAGGGTTGTAAAGTTTTACGAGGTTTATTAGAACCCTTAATAAAATTTAAAGGTCAATGGAAATTATAGATAAGTGAAGTGTTATAGAAATGATTTGACGTACATTTAGTACGAGATTATTCTACGGCTGAATTGGTGCAAAAAATACGTTGGTATTTTATAGTTTTTCATATGTAGCATGGACATTAAGTTTTTGTCGAGTTGTAGGACTTTATGTACATTACTTAGAGGATCTAGCTTGATGTGGTATCATTAAAAGCATCTAGTTCGTAGTATTATCATTGGTTATTGCAGGCGGAAGAAAGGATCTATCATAATTAAATGGTTGAATGATCGCGAGAATTATCAGTAAGGCGATTAATTTTATAGTTTCATGTGTCATTATGTACATTCTTTATTTTTCGCTGACACCTGCAGTCATTTTTTCTTGTAACTTCGTTATTTCCTTGTGGAATTTTTCAGATATTTTTGATAGCAAAATTATGCTCGTATGTGGAAAATGTAATTTTGTTATTCGATTTCAAATTGACAGAACGATAATTTAATATAATTCTGATAAAATTGTGCCAATTATAGATAATGTCGAATTATAGGTTATGTTAAATCGAACTATAATTATTTGCAGCTACTCAATTTAGTATAATTGCACCACCAAAATAAAATAATTAAAGCAGATTTTAAATACCACTAGCATTATATTTAATTAATATTGAACTTACATTACACTTTTAATATCAGCTTTAATATTTAATTATTAGTATTATTAAACATAGTAGTATTAAGTTACAATTTTTAAACGAAAAATTTTTAAGTGAAAGATTAGATGAAAAGGAGAATTTTTTAGTGGAAAATAAACTTCAATATGACAGTGTAAATTTTATAGAAGAAAATATAAATTCTCATTGTCTCAGTGAATATAACCTAACCTCACCACACTTGGTAATCGTATTCACCACAATTGAAGTTAACTCAGTGCCAACAAAATTAAGATTAATTTCCCGCTTACAAAGGAAAAAAATGGGTAATTTCTCCTTTTGCAGTACATACCTGAGCTCGTCCATAATCATGATTCGCACGGCTGGAGATTATAGGGCTGGCGTTGCAGGAAACAGACCAGGAATTACATTCCGGAAACTCGTATCGGAAAATGAGCGTGCACGATGCATAACTCAGTGAAAATGCGAACGAGTAAAATCAATCAGTAGCACAGAATCGATTTCCCTGTCCGCAATTACACGTTTGCCAGTAGATAACACCTGCAAAGGTCA